GGTAGGAGAAAAAATGGGAGGATTGACAAAATGAGTCAAGGTGAAGGAGGGAGCTCACATCAAGGCAAATTCTCTTTCTCAAAGAGAAAGAGAATGAAAATAATGTACCCAATCAGTTGATTTCTTGCTCTTACTACTCTATGTAATTCATCTGTTGGAGCAGTTGGCACTGTTTAAAGTACCACAAATGAGCATCATGAAGCTTTTTTCATTTTCATTTTATTGCTTGGCTGGCTCATCGCTGGGAAACAAAGCCTGTTCACTTTAGTTAGCCATTACACTGACATTTGAATTCGAGAAAGAGGACACAATTGTACAGTGCAGTAAAAGAAATGTACTGAGGTTATAAACATCCTCTTGCTGATGTATGATTTAGGTGGATGTGTTTATTTAGATAAAATGGTCATTTCTCTTCTTCTGCTTTTCCTTCTCTTCCTCTTCTTCATTCCACTTTCTCCCCCTTCATCTTTGTACAAAAACCTGTTGGGAAGCTATGTATTCAAAATAATGATGATTGATTCAGAGAATGCCAGTCTGACTTGATTCCAGTCAGAAGCTGCACACAAATGATAATAAATGCCAACTTCCTTTTCACTTCCTCCTTCTTCTCTCCCTCCTTCTACTTCTCTCCATCCTCTTCCTCCTCTTTTGCTGTTTCCTCTACATCTTCTTTTGCAACCGCATGTAGGGATAACATTTGCAGAAGTGACTCAAAGAAGAAAGGAAAAATGTGATTCTGGGACTCTAATTGCTTGAACTTAATTCTGATTCTATTACTTACTAGTTGGGTCAGTTACTTAACATATGTAACTGGCAGGGGCTGAGAGTACCTGTCTTATCACATTATGAAAGATTTACATGATGTGGTATAAGTAAAGCTCTTAATGTGACTCCTAGCCATGGAAACATTAACTATCATCACAGTCATAATATTTTCTTCTATTTTGCTTTTGTCATGTTATCCTGTATTTTCATTGCCTCTGTAGCATGAACTTGGACCACTTGATTTGTTTCTGCAATTTAATGGGTAAGTGTATCATGCAGGTATGGAAGAATCTTTACAAATAATTGTCATATCTTTTAGTGTAAGAGGGAAGATTTATTTTGAAGTTGGCATGATATAGTCCCCTTTCCTCCCTGATTTAAATTTCTCTATTATGTAGAAACCTCAAATCTCTTTTGTTGTCTAGCAACTGCTACAATATGATAGGCTGGAATATGTATCAGGAAATGGACATGCCATAAATATGCTCGGTGTTTTCAAAGATGACAATTTTAAATGTGAAAACTGTGGAAGACATGAAATGAAGGAAATAGGAAGCTATTAAGACGGAAGAAAGCAGGAAACATTTGGATTTAATTCCATCTTGGACTCATTCCACCAAAGTTCAATGTAACTCAAGACCTGAGCAACTGTGATTGCTCTCCCATGCGCTTGTTCTTTTAGTCTTCTTTGTACTTTTCCTCTGTAAGGCTAGGTTAAAGCCACATATTTTTTAAAGGATCATATCACAGTCAATTAGTAATATTATTTACTCTTTTTAAAGTTAAAAAAAAGAGAGAGAGCAAAAAAATAAATTCAATTTTAGACTCTAGATGTATCTGGAAGGGGTTATTTAAAGCTTCAAACCGTAACAGAGCATTAAAGAGTGTTATGCAGACAGGATGCATTTCCATGAACTAACTCTGAACAGGAAAACTGCCTTTGTGAACATTTAAGAATGGTTCTTCCATAAAAGGTCTTTTGATCCAGAATTACAAATATGCTCCCACTGGGAAACCAGTGAAACCAGTAAGAGGTGGCTTTTGGGGATATGAATCTACTTGGTAACTCTTACAGATAACATATTGTCGACTTATATTTTATTTTTAAAGATTTATCTATTTATTTATTTGAGAGAGAGAATGAGAGAGAGCATGGTGCGGAGAAGCAGAGGGAAAAGGGGAGAGGATCTCAAGCAGACTCTACACTGAGACTCTGCACTGAGCATGGAGCCCGATGCCGGGCTCTATTTTACGACCCCAAGATCATGACCTGAGCAGAAACCAAGAGTCCATCACTCAACCTACTGAGCCACTCAGGTGTCCCAACTTGTATTTTATTTTAAACTATTGTTTGCTTATGAAAAAAGAAGAGAAATTCAATGGCCAATGGATGGAGCAACATTTCTCACCCTTACCCATCAGCTGAATCCCATGGGTTTGCATGTGCTGCAAAACAAATATTATTTCAAATCAGAAACTCACTTTTTTGAGGGTGTATAGGAAGATTAAAACCACAGTGAAAAATAATATCCTGAAAGATGACTAGATACTGTACTTACAAAACTTCTTTAACCCCCAAATTTCACAAATGTTTGGGAAAAGATTTAAGATAATTGGAATACGTTCAAATGGTCTTATTTCATTATGTTTAAAGTATATATAAATTTTACCTGGAAAACAACTAATTTTTTGCTTATTTAAAGAATTATCTAGGGGCACCTGGTGTGGCCCAGTTGGTTAAACATCTGACTTCAGCTTGGGTCATGATCTCAGGGTCCTGGGGAGTATGCTTTTCTCTCATCCTCTCCCTGTACCCCTCCCCCCTGCTTGTGCTCTCTCTCTCTCCCTCTCAAATAAATAAATAAAATCGTTAAAAAAATTATCTAGAGATTATACTTACAAGAAAAACTTAATTATGGAGTCATTTTATAGCATATAAAATCATGTCAGCTCACTAACAATTGGGAACAAATCATATTTGATGTTCTTGAAATTACTCAAACCATTTGTAATAAATAAATGTATCTTTTCACCATGTTGGAATCATGACAAACTATATGACAATTTCATACAAAAAGCTGTTAATGTCATAATGTAAGCATTTATGAAATATGTAAACATTAGTATAATAAAGATTTCCAGAAATTTTCAGAAGTAACTGATGCTCTGACATATTTTGGGTAAATACTGACTTGCGCTTAGGTGTTAGGATATGCTTGTGTGTGTATGTGTGTGTCTGCATGATGTGGCGTGCATTAACTCTGTAAGATAAAAATGGTTAAATACAAGTATAAGGTTAAATGTTTAATTTGTTTTGTTTTGTCTGCGATGTATTTCTGTTTTCAGATTAATGAGCAAAACCTATAGGCAAATTGATGATTTCTGCTCATGTTCATAAGTAATGTAGCATAAATATACTTTCCAGTTTTATGAAAGGATTTTCATGTGTTTTTGAAAATGGATTTAAGGACAAAATCTAATGTTTTAACTAACAACTAGAAACTAATTAGACTATAAATGTAAGATATAACATATACTTTGTGTATAGTAAACAATCATCTTGTCCTATCTGACCACAAATCTACCCCCAGATTTTCCTGTGAGCCCACAGGAATAGCTGTGGGAACAGCTATCACAAATTCTCATTTTTATAAGAACATGAAATAACCTACATGATTTTTCTCTAGAAGAAAATCCTATATAGGAACAAAATACAAGAAGTCATATAGTGATTTTTAAAACTTTATTGGTGGAGTTAATATTACCCTATTTTATACTGTTTCCTTTACTTCTCGAAGGAAGAAAATTTGGCTCCCAATTAATTGAATCTTAATGGCTCTCTAAGTTAAATACTTATAAGAAAAATGTCAATGACCTAATTTTAATAATTGACAAGTATCGGGGCACCTGGGTGGCTCAGATGGTTAAGCGTCTGCCTTCGGCTCAGGTCATGATCCCGGGGTCCTGGGATCGAGTCCCGCATCGGGCTCCCTGCTCCGCGGGAAGCCTGCTTCTCCCCCTCCTTCCTGCTCGAGCTCTCTCTCACTATCTCTGTCTCTCTCAAATAAATAAATAAAATATTTAAAAAAAATAATTGACAAGTATCTGCTGTTATCACAGACCCTCTGTTGAAAGGTGAACAAGGTGAACACAGATATAAAGTGATACCGAATATATGAGTATGTGGCCATTAAGAAAGCCTAATAGTTTGCAATGTTTTTCCCCACCTATTTGTCAACTACATCTAATTGATTACCCTCCTGTAACATTTTATTCTGTTTGTGAAACCCTGTCCTTAGCCATCTTCTTCTTCCAAGTGTGTATCATAAATTACGAAATCAATGGAATAGCTTGTCTGGCACACATAAATTGATAGCTTCCCTTTCTTATATTAGCATAATCTGCCAATTTATTAGGAAAGAGTGAACGACACGCTTGCTGTTAGAACCGGTCATAACAGGTCACTTGAAAACATTGATGGTGTGCGAGACATGCTTTTTAATTAAAATGTGGGACTGAGTTGGCTAGTCAAACACCCTTTTCTCCTTACTCATCACATTTAATAAGTCATGTATTTGCTTATTTATATTATTTTAAATGAACAATGATGAGTCAGGGTAGCGCACAAAAGGCATGTCCCAGAGGGGGGGAAAACACAAAAAACAAAATAGCAAGCAAAAACACACTGCCTGGAAAACCCGTGTAAGAAGATACAAACATTCAACATGATAACTCGGATGAGAAATATTTTTAGCAGGGTTCCTGGTCACTTTTAAACAGCCTCCTGTCTTCACCCCAACTTGATTGTTTTAAGCAAGATCATTTCCCCACTTTTGCCTGCTTTCTTTCACAAAGTTATAATTTAGGCCAGAGATTCCAGTCCCCATTGCACAATAGTCTCGGGGATTATTGTGATCTCAAAGGATGTTGTGAAATTCTCAAGGCAAAATTAATTGCGATGGGACTTAGGTTTTTCAAGTGAAATGTGTACAATAAAGCCTCCCTAGGAGGAGATTTGGTGGATGAAGAGGGAGGTTACAATGAGCGAGCCGATTACAGGGTGTCAGAGCCCCAGGACCCGGGTGGCTGGCAGTGACTTCTACTTTCATCCCACAGACATGTGTGGGTGAGGGCATGAGATGAAAAGCCAAGCATCTTCTCTGTAATTTATATTGCCACAGCATTCCACCGTGGCCACACTGTTCAGCCCCAGGGAGCTCACATGTACTTTTGTTTGCTCAAAAGAGTTTCCAAAAGGCTTCAGTACGAGCTCTTCTTACTGTGGAAGAGGATCTTGCTGCTTTTTGATAAAATGTTGTGAGTTAGGGTCTGGTTTTTGTTTGTTTGTTTGACTTTGCCTCCTTGTTTGTTTCAGAATACAATGTCTGACTTCTAGGCACTCCGTTGGCTTTGAGACTGGACAGACCCTGGGTTCAATATGTCTTTTCCAGTAGCATGACTGTGACATCTTAAGGAATATTCTCCTTGTATGTAAAATGGGCCAGCACCTACCTCCTAGGACTGTTGTTTAAGGGTTTTAAGCACTCTGACAAAATGCTCTCTGGATAGAAGAGACTCTATGAAGGTTCGTCCCGGATGGTTTCCTGATTGAAATATCTCAATTACAGCTGCTATTTCCACTGCCTTTCCCCTCTCAGTCTGTTTATCTTCTCTGTTTTTACAGCAAGTTCTAGGTCATTTGCAAGTGGAGTTGATCTCCCATTTATCAGCTCTAAGCACATAACTGCGTCAGCTTGCTGTGTTGCCATAAAAGGCAAAACCTGGAAAGTGTCCTTTGGGTCATCTGGTTCAACCTCCCTTTTCTATGACTAAAGGAACGGAGATTTAATCAAATTTCACAACCTTCCCATTACTGTTCAGGAACAATTAATGAAACAGGTGAGACTAAAATCCCATTCTCTAGACCAGAGCCAGTCTTAGGCCTTTTGCCGTATCACCTATCATTCCTCTGTATAACCATGTTTTTTAATTTCAAAGAGCTACCGGAGTAATTATGAATAAATGAGAGTGGAACTTGGTGGAACAGAAAAAAAAATCCTCGGTTAATTGCTATAATTAAATTTGAAATCTACTTCGTGCGATCCAGTTACTGTGAAGGGTTGATTTTATAGCGATAATATGAAATGTGTTTTGATACCACAGTCAGTGAGCTTAAATTTATCCCTTTAAGATGTGGAAGCTAAGCAGACAAAGCAAATTGAGTCACAAACAAGACAAAAAAGTGGATCCAGCTGTAAATAAAACAAACAAGAAACAAGGTTTTGGTTTTGTCCCTGGTACCGTCTCTGGTTTGTTCAGGTTTTAGGGAGTGATTGTCCCATGAAAATAATCTAAAATAATGTTTTTAGACAGAGGAGAATTCATTCAACCTCCAGGTGTGATCAGCTAAGCACAAATTATTTGCCTGGAAATATCTTATCTTAGGGAATGATAAAGAGTAGATTGGAGCTATTCAGGGAGATGATATGTAGCTCCGGTAGCTGCCATACCTGGCATGTTGGTATTTCTCAAAACCCTTCTGTATCTCTATGTTCTGGATCTTGGTTAGAAATAAGAGAAACTTTCTTATGCTTTTCAGGAACAGTTCACTATGATCATGTTGCATCATACTTATTATTGCTCCATATGCCCTGCAATAATCTAATTATAAGACATTACAGGGGTGCCTGGGTGGCTCAGTCCATTAAGCATCTGACTTCGGCTCAGGTCAAGATCTCGGGGTCCTGGGATCGAGTCCCACGTCAGGCTCCCTGCTCAGCAAGGAGTTTGCTTCTCCCTCTCTCTCTGTCCCTCTTCCCGCCCCAGCTCATGCTCTCTCTCTCTCAAATAAATAAATAAAATCTTTTTAATGAAAAGACATCACAATAAAATGGAGTCTAACAGTATGCAGGCTCATTTCAGGAAGAATAGACACAGTGTAATTCCATCCTTCTGGAAATTTTGCTGCTTGCATTCTCCAGGCACAGAGAATTCCTAGCCCTATCACAGGATTCCTTGGGTAGTTTTGCATCATTGTCAACAGTTGTCCAAGGCTCTTTTCCCAATTCTACTTTACTTTCCAGAATCATAGATCTGAGCTCATGGCTTATGAGTTGTGATTTATACACCAAGATTTATGACTATGAATGTAATGATTTTTACTTGATTTTAATACATTTGTGCAACATCAAATTAAAGTTATTCTCTCTTAAATTTCTCATTGAGAAAATAGCTTATATTTTTTTGTGAATCCAGGACTTTAAAAGTGCTAATAGTTTGCTTAAGTGTATTTTACAGACTGAGCTACATTGACTTCAAACTTTGTCTCTAGTTTTGTGATAAACTGACCTTAGTAAAAGATGTCAGCAAGTAATGTGGAATATTGCTAAAATCGTTGGGCTTGACGTTGGCTTGGAAAGGAATCCAGGAGATGAGATGTCTTTTGAAAGACAAATCCTGGGGTTCCTGGGTGGCTCAGTCGTTAAGCATCTGCCTTCAGCTCAGGTCATGATCCCAAGGTCCTGGGATCGAGCCCCTCATCGAGTCCCGCATCAGGCTCCCTGCTCAGCAGGAAGCCTGCTTCTCCCTCTCCCACTTCCCCTGCTTGTGATCCCTCTCTCGCTGTGTCTCTCTCTGTCAAATAAATAAAATCTTAAAAAAAAAAAGAAAATTAAAAAAAAGAAAGACAAATCCTTCTAGCACATGTCCTGTTATATATTTTTTTTCTTATGCTTCTGCAGATTTCTATCTTCCCTGCCTGATATCACCAAATGCTCTCTCAATGTACAACTGTGTAGCAGGGCAAGAACATGGACTTGGCATCACAATGTCTCAGATTTGATCCGAGACTCTGTTTGAACTATTTCTGTGACTTTGGATAAGTTATTTTACCTCTTCAAATCTAATTGGCTAATCTGGGTGGTAGAGAGTTGATTTCTAAATTTTAGGGCTGTTGTCATGTCAAATGAAACGTTTGTGTAGCACCAAGGGAGATACATTGAATCCATAGTAATACTGGCCCTACTATACCACTGAAGAATCTATAGCACTAAGATGTATGATCTTGAGTAGATCCTTTTACCATTTTTGGCCTCAAATTTTTTTTTTTAAGATTTTATTTATTTATTCATGAGAGACAGAGAGAGAGAGAGAGAGGCAGAGGGAGAAGCAGGCTCCCAAGGAGCAGGGAGCCCGATGCGGGACTCGATCCCAGGACGCTGGGATCATGACCTGAGCCAAAGGCAGACGCTTAACTATCTGAGCCACCCAGGCGCCCTTGGCCTCAAATTTTTTATTCATTGATTCATTAGACAGTATTTTATTGAACAACTCAACATGCAACAATAGTTATAGGAAAGAATATTAGCAGTCATTAACATATGTTTTCCTCTTCCTATTACTCACAGAAAAGATTCTATTTTTATTCATTTTATAAATAGTTACATAATACTTATTAAATGCTAAGCACTGTTGTAAGCACTTTACAGGTATTAACTCATCTGAATCTCACATAACTTTATGAGTGAGGCGGTGCTTTTATTTTACACATGAGGAACTGACACAGAGGAAGTTAATAATGTGTCCCAGGCTGCACTGTTAGTAGGTAGTGTGGGCAGGATATGAGCCATAATCGACTGGCCCTGAGTCATTGCTGTGAACCATGTAACTGTGTTGCTTCTCCAGGAAGAAAAATCTCTTAAAATAAGTAATTGAATATAATTAACATGAATTGTAATAAGTGATATGAAGGAGAGGCACAGGGTGCTATACAATGAGAAGAGCAAAATCTGTCAACAAATGACTTTTTGAAGACCCATTATTCTCTATATTCCATGGAGTCCATGATTCCTTGAGTCTCCTTACCAAACACTTCTCACCATTGACAATCCATTATGCACTGGAGCTGAATACCTGCTGTTCTGACAACTGACCCGTGAGGTCTTCTGCAAAGAAGAAACAAAAAAGCCTCAAGAAGTTACTTGTAAGTATTATAGTGTGAATGCTACTTTAATTCAGAAAAAACATAGCCCAGTCCATTGCCATTCTTTTAACTCAAAATCGCATTTAATAAAACTTTTTTTGGTAACTGAATGTCATGATACCTTTAAGCATAGTTATCAAAAATGGTAATCAGGCACCTGTGCCCATTGCTGACAGTCAGTGGCAAGTCCTTACGCTAGCCTGATGGAGTTCATGCCAATAGAAAAAGACCATTCTAGATTAAATCTCAAGAAGAGTAGCCATGGTTGTCTTTTTCATTATCTTTTGTGTTTAAGCACTTTTTAAAAATTGATATGTTGTAAGTGGTTTTTAGCATAAAAGAAAAGTGATCTTTGCTAGAAAGTAAACTCCCTCATAACAAAAACTTGTCCATCTGATCTACTGTTCTACATGCTATGCCTGAAACAGTACCATGTGCCTTGATACGTTCTCGATAAATATCAGTGGAATGTTGAATTTTGAAGAAATGTCTTTTTGGTTACATCAACACCAGTCAACCAAAGAAATCTGAATGGAAGGCAGTAGGATGTGGTTAAACATTAGACACTGTATTTGGATTCTAGACCAAGTTTTGCCACCTCCTTGGTTTGTGATCTGAGGTGAAGGATTTTATCTCCTTGTTTCTCTCCTTCCCTGGCTATGAAATATCCACTTTTACCTCTAAAAATAGAGGCAAACATCCTTTTGATGTCTTGTTCTCAATTTTAGCTTGCCAGAGGCTTATAACTTCTTTTTTCTTTTTTTAAAAGATTGTATTTATTTATTTGAGAGACAGAGAGAGCAAGCAGGGGTGAGGGGAGGCGCAGAGGGAGAGGGAGAGGAAGAAGCAGACTCCCTGCTGAGCATGGAACCCAAGGACACAGGGGTTTGATCCCAGGACCCTGAGATCTTGACCTGAGCTGAAGTCAGACACTTAACCAACTGAACCACTCAAGTGCCCCATTATAACTTTATTTTTGACTGCAATTAATATCTTTGTCTTGTAGTACCAGGAAGAAAAGCATAATAATGTACAAACAGAACCAAATATGCCAAAAGAGTGTATATATATATACATATATATATATGTATGTATATATATATATATAGACACTCTCTAAAATACATATATATAGATATAGACACTCTCTAAAAATAGTCCTAGTAAATTTGCCATGGTCAGCAAGGAACCTCAACTTTACTCTGCCCCTGATTAGGACACTGACTCACTGTATGACTATATGACTAAATACACACCAGATATTTGTCTCAGGCCAACCCTGGTTGACTCATAATCTATGGTTTAAAATGAAGATCTGAGCTACCTTTGATCTTCTTCTTGCAAGAATTTCAAAGAGGATAATACCAGCAGAGCCAACTTGACAGTTACAGAGGATGTACCCAACTCCCATTATTCTGATTCACTGGAGAAGAGGTTACCACCATAGCAACAGGGGTGAAATGTCACTTGCAAATTTGCACTTGGGGCTGTAAAAGCCAATAGAGGTTACGTTCAATTGTGTAGCTTCGAAGAAATAAACATCTAAAAGCATGAAAGAGACTTTTAAAAAATTATGTACATCCTCATAACCTTAGACACAGAAAAACATGTCAAAGAGGAACTACTTCTTTCCCCATTTTATAAGCATTTTCCACTTACAATTTTTTAGACCGTTGCAGATTATAATCTTTAGAAACAGAAGGCAAGCAGAGATTGGTGTGAAGGGTGTTTATCGGGCATCAACACCTAAGAAATGGAGGGACCAGCAGGAGGGTTGGGCTGAAAAAGAGAAGTCAGCCTTTGAGGCAAGCCCAGCAAAGCCTTGGCCAAGCACGAGGAGAGCCCTGGAGTACAGGTCAGTCCCTGGATATGGGCTACCCCTGGAAAGGTATTATGTCACGCAGGGGATCCCTGTCACTATGGAGGACCCTAGAGCTGTTGACAGCTAGAGGCTGCTTGTGGTCAGCACCACTAGCAACAGCCAATGGTCCTTCTCTGGAGAGAATATAGGAGACAGATCTCCTGGTCTACCATGCATATCAAACAGTGAATGACCCGTAAGAAGAAAAAGGCAAAATATGGCCCAATTTCTATGGGATAAACATAATCACTTGAGAATAAAAATCCTATTAAGTGATTTAGTATGAATCTCTACATGGGAAGCTGGCATGAAGCTTCTTTTCTGGAACCTACAAATCTCTTGAGGGTGAGGACTAGGTCTCTAAACTCTATTTTATTTCAAAATATATTAAGGGATCATTAAACACCTATCTAGTAATAGGCTGCTTCTTCTAATCTGCCATTTTCCAGAATAAGGAGATGACTATATGCCTCAAGTGGTTAGGAGTTACTGTAGATGAAAAGCTTATCTTTATTGTGTATATATAAATTCTACACACATTAATATCACTTAAATAAATGTACATCTATGTATGTGAATTAACATGCACATATATCTGGCTCACAAATGAAAAACTGTATTTTACTAATGATATATATTTATATATATCATATATATACAGCAATATATCTTTGAAAATCTTTTTCATAGCTTAAATCAAGTACTATAATCACAATACACAGATTCAGTACCTGCACTCTGCTACTTAATTTTTACATGTAATAAACTTTGATTTTCTTAGAAACATGTTAATACACAGGACCTTTCAGGTCTCAGACATATAAATGGTATCACGAACTATACAGAAGTTTTCCTGAGGGTTGTGAATACCTGAGTCTGATCCAGTGTCTCTCTAAATTATTGGCACTTTTCCTAGAATTCTTCCATGGTGCAGGACAAAGCAGGAATAATAAAGAATAGGACTGATCAAGTGTTTTCATTGATCAAATTTCCTCTAGAGAAGCCAGGCTTCTCCAACACCTTTTTCTCATGAATTTCCTCCACTGCACTGTGCCACCTAATGCCTTGATTCAGGCCTTCATTAAATCTCGCAAACCTTCTTACTGTGTCTTTCTATTTGCAGTCTTAACTGTGCTCCTGCCAGGGATTCAAACTATTTAAAGCAAAAACTCACAAAACTTTAATGACAAATGAACGGATGCACCTCCTTCAGTGACTGATAAATAGAGCAACTGGAAAGAAAAAGAGTATAGGGTATAGGATATTTGAACACAATTGCCAAGCTTCATCTGATAGACATGTATGAAATGTTTTATCCAACATTTGAGGGATATACATTCTTTGCAAGCACATGCAGATTATTAATGAATATTTACCATATACTGGGCTATAAAACACATCTCAACAAATTCCGAAGGACAGCTATCATACTGAATATATGCTCTGACTGTCCCAAACGTGTATCAGGTATCCCTCCCCTAAAAATCTAGAGCATCCTATGCCTCCCATTTTGCAATTAGGATTAGTCTTGGCTTTTATTATTTATTTCTGCATTTCTTTCTCTACCATTGTTCCACTCATCCCCGACTTCACTTCATTGTTGGAGCTTGTGTTGTTCTCCTGTTGATGTTCCCATTCATTCCTGATGCAGTGCCTGGGACTTAGTTAAGGCAATAAATAATGTGTATTTGTCTAATTTAATTTAAGCTTTGTGGGATAGACAACTACAGCCAGATCTATGTCTATAAAGCCCTGTGTAGTCGGTTGTTCTCAACGTTTCTATGAGAGAGGAGACATTTGGGACAAGAAGACCAATGATATTACAGTATGAGCTTTGAGATTTCAGGCTGCACCGTTGCCTCAATAGATCTCATCAGGCCACAATAAATGTAATATGTCTTACCTTCTTACAGAAATATTTATTTCTATAATTGTAGTGCTTTGGAAGACATTATAATCACCAATTGAGCTGAATTAATAGCATGAGACATTTAAGGAAAATATATGTATTTCATATTTGTATATAGTAAATGGTGTCTAAAATCCAATTCAGAACAAAACATTACATTACAATCTCTAAATAGGATTGCTAAACAAAATATGTCTAGCATACAGAAAAGCATAGAAGGGGGGTGCCTGAGTGCCAGTCAGTTAAACATCTGGCTCTTGGTTTCAACTCAGGTCATGATCTCATGGGTCATGGGATGGAGCCCCGCATCGGGCTCCAAGCTCAGGGCGGAGTCTGCTTCTCCCTCTCCCTCTGCTCCTCCCTGGCTCATGCTCTCTTCCTCTCTCTCTCTCTAATAAATAAATGAAATCTTAAAAAAAAAAAAAAAGCATAGAGGATAATAATGAACCAAATCTTTTGTCAAATCTTAGCATTTTTAATATTAGTGTCACATATTCTTGAGCCAGCAGATATCACAGACGTAGTAAAAGACCATGATTTATCCTCACTCATCAAATAATAACTTTCAGTAGAAACTCTGACTCTATTCTAATTACAGGACTCAGTGCCTAGTATAATATACTCTGGAAGCATAAAACATTATTAAAAGGGGCGCCTGGGTGGCTCAGTTGGTTAAGCGACTGCCTTCGGCTCAGTTCATGATCCTGGAGTACCGGGATCGAGTCCTGCATCCGGCTCCCTGCTCGGCAGGGAGTCTGCTTCTCCCTCTGACCCTCCTCCCTCTCATGCTCTCTGTCTCTCATTCTCTCTCTCTCAAATAAATAAATAAAATCTTTAAAAAAAATGTAAAAAACATTATTAAAAGTGATAATAGGTAAAAAAAAAAAAATGTCCATAGACTAAGGAGATACCTATTTAATATACTTTAAAAACCTATTGCTTAATCGTGCCCACTCTTACGTTTTTAAGAATCACCAGTTATCTATTTCAACACCTTACCATTTATATTTTGGGGAAATCTGTCTATAATTTGAGTTAGAATTACAAGAATGTAAAGATCAAGAGAATGCTTGTAGACTTGGCTGCAAATGCACCACTCAATTTCACATAATTGGAGATGACAGACACTGAAGCTCAATGAATAATATGCTCTCTGTATGTGTCAAATCAGGTATGAAAAAGAGGTAGTTATGCCAGTGGGCAAAAAATATACATAATTTACTA